AAAGGCTGGTGGCCAGGCAGGCTACAGCCAGGGTGGTGGTGGTGGTCGGAGGGAGGGAGGGAGGGAGGGAGGGGGCTCCTCTTGGCTCGGGGCCTCCAGCCGCTTTCCCGGCTGCTGTGCTCCAGGCACCCCCCCCCCCAAGAGCGTGCCAAGGCGGCTGCTGATCCCCTCAGGAGGGAGCCGGCCCCGCCCGTGCCGCCGCCGCCCTGTGCTCCCAGGCCAGCTGCATGCTCCAGATGCTGAGGGGGCGCATGTAGGCCAGGGAGCGGAAGACCCTCTTCTGGCAGAAGGCCTCGGGCGTCTGGAAGGCCATGCCCAGCCGCTCCCACACGGTGCGGTAGCAGCCCTCGGCCGTGCGGAAGCCCTCCTCCACCAGGCCCTGCGGGCGGAGAGGAGAGAGAGTCAGCCCTGGCCCTCCGCTCCTCCACTGCCCAGCCCCCCCCACCGCCCCTGCCCACCCCAGACCCACCTCCTGGATCATGGTGGCAGCCAGCGCGTACACCACCCCGACCCACACTTCGTCGGCCTGCAGGCTGGAGGTGTCCGGCACCCCGGAGGGGCGCATGCCGTTCACCGCTCCCATCGTCCCCTGCGAGAAGCCCATCACGTTCATCTCAAAGATGGTCTTCAGAGCACTCTGCACATGGCTCTGAGGGAACACCTGCAGCCGGGGGGGGGGGTAGGCAGGGGGGGCAGGCAGGGAGGGAGGGAGGGAGGGCAAGACTTCAGCCCAAAGTCCTGGGACATTCCCCGGGTGCCTCTGCTGTGCCCCCCCTCGCCCGTGCCCCCCCTCCGGTTCCCTTCTTACCTCGGAGGCCCCCTCACCCAGGCCGCACGCCCGGAGGAACCACTGCCCGGCCAGCTGGTCCGACACGACATGATGCTGCTGGGCGAGGCCCTCCGGCTGCTGTCGTAGTTGTAGTATTTCCCTGGGGGGGGGGGAGGGGAGGCCGGTGAGAGAGGGCGGCCTCCCGCGGCACCTCCCCGCCCTCCCTCGCCCCACCCTCAGCCGAGACCTACCGTTCCAGAGCAGCCGCTCAAAGGCCTCCGTGCCCTTGGTCAGGATGGCGCTGTACTTCTGCCGGACTTCACCCGCCCCCAAGACCTCGGCCATCTGACACATCACACAGACGGCTGCCAGCCACAGGCCCCCGCAGTAGGCACTGCCAAAGCAGAGGAGGAGGAGGAGGAGGAGAGCCTGTGCGTCTCAGCACCCGAACGCCTTCCTCCCCTGAGCCAAGGCAGAGAACTTGGCTTGCAGGAGACGCTCTCGGCAGGCAGGCAGGCAGGCAGGCGGGCGGGCGAGGGCTTCTCACCCGGGGCACCCCAGGGCCTCCTGAGCCGTGAGCTGCGGGGCTACCAGCCGGGCCTTCTTGAGGCCGGTCCCTTCCCCTCTGGAGGGGCCACATGTTCTGGGCCTGACATGAAAGACACGGGGGTGGGGTGGGGGAGGCCCTTCACGGGTATGGGAATGCCACACTTTGCCAAGCCACCCCACGGGAAGAGGTCCACCTCTCTTGCAAAGGGTGCCGGCGGTTGCAGGGGTGTGTTGGGGCGCATGGCTTTTGATCCCTCCTGAGCTTTGTTGCTCAGGATTACTGTGCCAGCTGCTGCTTTTCGCACCACGGTCCCTGCTGCACTTGGGAGCAGCGGCTGTTGCAATTAACACACGCCTAATCAGGACACACGCATGCACGCTGCTGAGTCAGACCAAGGGTCTTATCGGGCAGGGCCAGATGATTACAGCAGAGCATTATTAACTGGCCACTAGGGCCTTTAAAGGGTGCGTGAATAGATCCAAAACAACTGCCAAATCATAACCTAAATAGGATATGCAACAAAATGCAAATTCCCACAAACATTGCAGACACAGCCCAACAGCAGACAGTTGTGAGTAAATCCCCCACCCCCCTGGCCTTGCCCGGCGGCACAACCCTGCATTGCCAAGGGCAACACACCACACCACAACAGGCCTGTCCGCTGGGCAGGTCAGGAAAAGACGCCAATTGCTGCTGGCCAGCCAGGGCAGGGAGGGGTGCTGGTGCTGGTGGTGGGAAGCGGCTGTGTCTTCCTTCACCCCCACAAGGGGGACTACAAGCAAGCACAAGCAAGCCAGACCACATTCCGCCCGGCCCGCCTGTCGCACCCCGGCCATTCCAGCACACGCTAACTCCCCGCTCTCGCCCCCTCAAGGCACTGGCCGTTCCCATTCCCTGGCAAGCAGCAGGACCCGCTTCCTCCTTGGAGACCACAGATCCACCGCAGCGGAGGAGGACGGGGCGGCTGTGGCAGCGGAACTGGCTCCTGGGCTTCCCTTCCCTATTAGCCCCTCAGCCACTCCCGAGGAGAGGAGGCTCCACGGCGGCCAGCCAGTGAGTGCGCATCTCTGGGGGGAAGGAGCCCCCCATGGCGACCGGCGGTGCCCTCCCCTGCACGAGTCCCACAGCTCCTGGAGTGCCCTGAGCCTCCCCCCACCCCCCCACAAGGCAAGACGGCTGGCATGCAAGAGTGTGTGTGGGGGGCTCCTAGCGGAAGCCAGCACTGCTCCCCAGGCCCTGGAGCGGGGGGGGGGTGTCCCGGCCCTGGGGAATCCCCACACAGCCTGTTCCACCCAGCAAAGGCCCCACAAGGAGATTCGGGTGAGAGCCGGACAGGCGGGCAGGCAAAGTGAGCGCCCCTCCACCCAAGGGCACCCGGAGCCTCCAGAGCTTGCAGCAGAACCGGCCCCGGCCCGACTGCCCAGCAACCAGGGGAGGGGCTTCCTTCCCAGGGGACGGGGGTGGGGACCCAGGCAGGCCCCCCCCATGGGCGCTGGCCAGAGCCACCCCCCCTCCCCCAGCAGCAGCAGCAGTCCCCGCCGCAGGGCCCGCGCCTTCCCTCACCTGGCGCCTGTCACCACCCAGGCGTCGTAGGTCTGGTCGGCAAAGCCGGAGTTCTCAATCAGCCCGTCCCCGTCTGTGTCAAACTTGAGCTCCGACTCCATCACCGCCTGTGGTGGGAGAGGAGGAGGAGGGGCCGTGGGGCTCAGCAGCAGAGCCCCCTCCACTTGGCGTGCCGCAGGCCCCTCCGGCTCCATCCCCGGCAGCTCTTCCCGCTCAAAGGGCCAGGCCAGGCCAGGCAGGAGGTGGCGGGAAGGACCCCCCCTCCCCCCTCTGCCCCAGAGGAGACTGGGAGGGACCTGGGAGGGTCTGGCTGAGGACCAGGCCGCTTCCTGTGGCCATGCGGGGGGAGGGAGGGAGGAAGGGAGGGAGGTGGACCGGACCAGCGGCTCCCAGGGCTCCCCTGCCCCGAGAATCCGGCCCCTCTGCTATTGGTGCCCCCCGCCCGCCCACCCACCCGGCCGTACCAGGCAGACGGGCCACATGTCCTGCAGGTAGGCGGAGTCTTGCATGAGGCGGTAGTTCCGAAAGACCTGGAGCACAAACTTCAGGTTCAGGTCCTTCCAGGAGGCCGTGTCGTGGATGAGGTAGGCGTTGACGCGCTGCCACGGCTCGTCCTCTGGCAAAGGAGGGGGCAGAATCAGAGCGAGATCCCCCCTCGCCTGCCCCCCCCCGTGGGAAACGGGGCTGCCTGCTGCTCCCCTGGGGGGCCGGAGGGGAAACCAGGACGGGGGGGCAAGGACTCCTGGGACGTGGCACACCCAGGGCTCCCCCCACCCCTCCACAGGCTTCCAAACTGCAAAGCACAGCCAGGGTCCCAGGGGAGCCAAAAGTCCTTGAGGAGGAGCAACCGGACAAGCCCCGAAGGTGCAGAAAAGAAGAGCGAGGCCTGGGCGAGCGGGTGGGTGGGTGGGCGGGCGACGACCAAAGCGGCCCCCTGGGCGCGGAAT